TAAATAATTGCATAATATAAGTCCACAATTCACCTTTTTAATTATATGATAACTTTTCAATAAATTAAAGAAACCTAGCTACTGTAAGGATTTCCATTTTGTGTGATGGTTACATGCTATGAGAAGCAGACGTCTTAAATTCTAATTAGTTTTTAATTAAATAGCTGGTTCTTATTAATTTTTAATTTAATTAATGGCTTATTAATCTTGGACTATGCCAATAAGTCGTATTTATCTACATGCGCTAAACAGGCCTAGAATTATAATAAATTATACATTATACATATTTATAAATACACTTTTTTCACAATGCTTTCTTACAAAACCTGAAAATTATTTGATAACAGTATGTGATAGCTTTATATTATCTTGTTTTATTCATCATAAATTTTCAGTATACAATTATTACAATAAAAATTTTTAAAAGGTTTTCAACAATTTGTAAAGCATCTGTCTACAGAATAGAAGAAAGAATAAATTGCTAGAATCGCTTTTAGCATTTTGATTATTAGCATTTATCATATTTTAATAAATAAACTTCATGTGCCAAATTTTTCATGATGCCAATTAAAGTCAATTAGGTTGTTTAATTAATTAATAAAAAATTATTTTGTAATTATAATAAAAAAATATCAAATTTTGGAATGAAAAAGCACTGTTTACTATTATATTCTGTAATTATTTTTCAATTGTCATTGTTTTTATTTAAATATATTTAGTGGTTCTATTTAAAGCCAACAATATAATCTATTAATCTACCAGCAGCAATTTATTTTAAACGATCAAAATTTATTTCACATTCGCTATATAAATAAATATAGTTGTTTATGTTGCGGTTTTGGAATGCATTATTCACGGATAGATAACTTTTGCGTCTATTTGATTTAAACAAATCCGATATCCACTGGATAAAGCATTGTTGCTAGCTATTTATGTTTAGCATTCAATTCTATTTTTAATACAAGTATTTTTGTGATTGTGTATTATTTTTTGCGTGCTGGATATCTACCATGCGGTAATTCCGTATAGATTTCCCATATCGGACATATGCGGTTCAGCGGTGCTCAAGTTATAAGTCATTTCATAAATATAAGATTTGGAAAGTATAAATCGATGGTTCTGACTTGTACCTTATAGATATGCTGTTTTTATAAAAAAAAGAAAAAATACAGAAATGTTGATCTCATGTAACCAAACTTGCAAAACGTTCAAACTTTAAACCAAAACCGCGTGATTAAATAAATCTATACAAAATTATCAACGGCTTGTAAAATGACCAAATTTAACTATAAACGAGAGAAAAAAGGAGTAAAAAAGCGTTGCTCTTATATTACTAAACTAATCTCATTTTTGGTCATTACCAATTACTACATCATCCAAAATATTAAAATATTCGTTTACACTAGCATTCTTTATACACCATTACTAATGGCCTCCTTATTACGTTAGTGGTTAGAGCTGTGTTTCAATTTGAAGTTCCAGATCTAAATCCGCCTTGGAGAGTTTGATATCGAGCAGTATTGGTATTGGTTTCCACATATAAATAGCAATATGATATAAGTTACAATAGCCTTTTTCGGCATTGATAAAACCAATAAAAAAAATCATTAGTATTAGAGTTATTTTTATAATACATTTATCAAAAAGAGATAGCTCACCTCATCACAACACCTTGGAGGACTATAAAGTTTTGATTGTTACTAATATAAAGGAAATATATTAAATCTATATAAAATTTATTATTTAAACTGGGGAGGGGAGTAAACACAGAACAAATGTGCTACCCTGGTTTAGTGTTTTCGCTCACAAACAAAGGTTGTTCTGTGCCTAAATTTTTACTCTTTATACAACATTGATTTTCTTATTTTTACACATGTACTTTAAGCCCTGTTTTAGTGTTTTTTGCACACAACTAAAGGTTTTTCTAAGCCTAAATTTATTACTCTTTATAAAAAATTGATTCACTTATTTTTACACATACTTTAAACCTTTAATATTTTTTATTATATATTTTCTGAAAACATATTTGTGATTTAGTTAAAAAATATATTTATACGCGTATATTTTGTTCTATTTTATTTATTCAAATTTATCAAGTTTATCTTATATAGAATTAAACCTAGGGGTAAATTTACGTGATCCATTTGGTGCGAAAACAATTAAAATTGAGGTAATGGCAAAGCAACTGCATTTGAGATCTATTTATACTTCTTTTATCCATGATTTTAAGCTTTTATTTTGATTTTGAACAATCAGAACTTATTCCACGTATATCTGTCGTGATGATTTACTTAATTATGTTAACTATGGCGGTTGTTATAGATAGGAACTAAAAATATTTGTCTCATCTCAATGTAAAGAATATTATTATTACAATTTCTGTAACAACGATGATGTTTCTGAATGCTGCAATGCCAAATAAGGAAGCAATTTGCATTGGAAACACAGTGCTCTATCTATATTTCCAAGTAAAAACTGATGCCACTAGGTCCTGCTTTATATTAGGAGGGGTATCGAACCTGGAAACTGGGATCTTACTTCGACTTTAATACACGGGGAAACATTACCTGTAAATTGTATCCTTCTATCCACCTACTTTTTTATTTTTTGTATGAAATAACAAAAATTTCTCGCATGATTCAATTGAATGCTCATGGATGGTAATTAAGAAATCAGTGCCGCAATTACATGATTCTAGTGATCGAATATGGGTTTTGTGAAAACATTGAAAAAGCGTGGTAAATAGAGTATTGTATAAAGCCGTATTAGTATCAACACTTCATTATTGCAGTTGGATCACTTGCGAAACGTTAATGATAACGAATCACGCTAGGTTAACTTTTTGTTTATATGCCTGGAATCGCTCGCATTATTCAGAAATGTATTACGTAAGATTATTTTCAGTAATCGCACGCGATCTGCTATGTACATTATATCGTGTTGTAGCTCTAGAACGATATTCCATACCTGTTTTTGTTAACTGGTTCTGATACTAC